TCTCAAGCGGAAGGCGGGCAGGACAGCAACTTTACAAGGGCAGCCGCAGGAGCGAGGCGGAGCAGGGCGCCGCTGTACCATCAAAACCCCTCTTCTTTTGAATCTATGGTCATGATGGCGCGTCTTGTGTGAGAAAAGCGCCTGGAGCATCATTCTAGCAGTACTCACGATTCCAACACTTCTCATCAAAACGACCGTCTCTCTGTCTGTTGCTCTCCCTCGGTTTCCTTTTTCCGGCTTTGGCAACTATCTGCGCTTACGCGAACAGCCATCCAACACCACACGCTCGTGGATATCTTCCAATTCATGCATTTCCTCAATGTCTCCCGCTCCTCAAGACGCAGCCAAAAATCACATGGGCGCCTTCTGCCAACCATGCCATCAAGCCGTCGTCATCGTCATGCTGTTTGCCGCTGCACCTACCGCTCCTCCTCTCCACCGACTCTCCACTCGCTCTCTCCACTCTACGCCGCCTCCGCGCGCCGATTTCGCTCCCCGCCCACGTCCCGACTCCACACCCCACAATCTCTCACCCACGGCGCAGGTGAACCCTGATGTCGTATTCGGGGCTATTATTGCCATTACGATGCGGCTGTTTGATCGGTGCTGTTGTTGGCACGTCGCCATCATGGTGTCGCCGGTAGTCGTTAGGAAAAGCAATCGAGTCCGCAATTTGGTCCCCTTCTTTTCCTTTTCTGTTTTTGGTCCTTTTCTTTGCGTGCCTCTCTCCGGTCTATCACGATTGAATTAATATCCCACTGTTTGTCGTCCACCTCCTCTGAAGTTTTGGATCTTCGCCGTCGGTCGGTGTCTCCACAGCACACCTGGTTGGCCATGCGGCCTTGCCCACCAATGAATACACACGGCGCAGGTGAGAGCAAGACCGAAAGGATTCTCATGTGCTGGAAAAATAAGGGAGGAGAGAGGTGAGGTCAGGCTGCTCGCTCGCTCGCTGCCATAAACATGTATTCGGCGCACCACAGGTGTTTGTTCACACTGCCGAATATGCTTTTTATAACCATCCGACAACGCCGAAGTCGCGCTTGCACCTCATGACTTGAGTAATTTTCCAATCATTTCTTGCTGTAGCAGCTGATTCTTCTTGTTTAAAAAACAGTCTTGAAAAGTTTCGGAGTCCTGGCGATTCCATCCCAGTGTTAAGAGAATTGTCAAAATTTTACACTTTATAGGTTTTGGAATAACCAACATTTTCATTGACCAGGGCACTTGGTCTAGGGGTATGATTTTCGCTTCGCAACAACAGAATGTTGAGTATGTGAAAGGTCGTGGGTTCAATTCCCACAGTGTCCAGTCTTTTTGCCCTTTTGGCCCCCTTTCACTGCACTCCTTTTTCGCTCTGCATTCCAGGAGGATGCAGGGTTGCAATGTTTTGGCGCAACGGAGAGAGGGAAAGGGGGGGAGGGCTCAGGCGCGAGGCCGGCGTCTAGCAGTTGCGCGGTTGAGGGGCGATGCGGAGACGAGGTAAAAGGGGAACTGCTAATTTGCTGACATGCTTTTGCAGAGTGGACAACCATTGATGAGATTTTGGAATGAACCTGTCTTGACTAACAGAGCGGTAAGTATGAACTTGAAATCCGCAAGAGACATGAGCGTCCGCGAAGTGACAGAAGCGATGTATCCAAATTCCGCGCTGTCCCCATTTCACTGCTTCATCTGTCTTTCTTCGAGCTCCAAATTATAGTTCAGTCGTGGAAGACTAGTGGAGAAGAAGATGAATAGAATATGTACAGTAGTTTTGAAGTGGAATTGTCAGTGATGCAGGAAACTTGTCTGGCCAGTTGAGCGCAAACGAAGAGAGAGTGAGACGAGACTACCATGCTCTTGAATTGGAAAACATAACGCTGCAAATAGACATTTTGAGGCAAGAAATTGAAGACGCTAGCCCAAACTACGAAATGTCAGGATAGCAAGAGTATCTCACGTCACCCGGCTGCCAGCCAATGCACTGATGACAAGTGAGTATGTTATCCGGATCCACTCTCCTCTTAATCTCATACAACTTCTCATAATTTTCCGTCCCCCAGAACGTCTCTTCTGGGTCCGACTGAAAAGTGTCGGCCTCGTTCTGATACGCGCCACTGCCGGGAGTCAGGGCAATCAAGCGCTCCGTCGCCTCGTGCGCGTCGGCAAATGCCTGCCGCGTATCCAGCGGCGACGCCTCGTTGGCGTGGTTCACAACGGAGTTGACAAACACCTCCCATGTCGCGTTGCGCCACGCGGGCGTCACGCTGCTGGTGTCGCGCCCGCCAGGCAGCTTGTAGTTGGAGGGCGCGACGGCGAAGATTTGGATCCGTGCGCCGTAGGCTGCGGCGTTGGGGTCTCCGCTGGGCGCGTTGAACTTGCGCACAAGGTCCTCGAGCAAGTCGACGAGCGCGTCGCGCTTGCTCTTGTCCTCGAAGGTGACGCGCGGGATAAGACGGCTGCCGACGGCGGTGGGCAGCCCGACTTTCTCGCCTTCGCCGTAGCCCAGGTACTTGGAGTATGCTTCCCAGTACGTGTTGGCCGTGTTGATGGACATGACGACTGGTTTTACCCCTGGAGTCGCCGCAAAGTCGAGCACGGGCTTCATGTCTTGGACGGCGGCCGTGTGGTCCAGCTTGGGCGTGAGCAGTGTCAAGGCTGATGCTGAATCGCCTGCTACGCCGGGCGTGATATAGCCACCCCAACCGCCGTCTGCCCACTGGTTGGCATTTTCTGCGATCAATTGTAGAAATTTGCGGAGGTTCCCTGGGTCGGAAGACGTGTATGCAAAGTTGGCGACCTGCTGGTTGTCAGAATCACGAGCACACCTCCCGATTTGGTGGACATACCTGGAATGACATCTTCGGATACGTCTTCATCGTCACTTCGACGTTGACGCCAAATGTCCCGCCGCCTCCACCTCGTAATGCGAAAAAGATGTCCTGATTCTGACACTCGTTTGCAGTGACGTACCGGCCATCCGGCAGCACTGCTCTGATTTGCAGCACATTGTCGACGCCGAGCCCCAAAGTGTTGGTAGCAAATCCGTGCCCGCCTCCGCTGACCCATCCTCCAGCCGCACCAACTGTCGACGATGTGCCTCCCGGAACCGTCACCCCATTATCCTCTGCAAATTTGTACAGGCCGCGCATCCCCTGTCCGCCGCCCATTGTGATTCCATCTCCCACGGGCCCAGGACACCCTTCTGGCTCAAAGTTCTTTTCCAATTTAAGCGGCGGCTTCAAATTGGTGAGCCACAGCGCGAGAGAATTGGGCGCAGAGCTACGGCCCTTGTAATCATGGCCAGTGTTCTTGACCGAGAGGATCGTCTTGGTGTTGCGCGAGAAGCTAAACGCTGCTTGGATGTCCGAGATTTTGCGCACGTCGATGTAGTACGGCGAGACGCTGCCCTGGTGGCAGTCGCGAGGTGGCGCAAAGTTGGCTGGGTCGCTGGGGTTGATGAAGTCGAGGTTGCAGGAGGATGCGTTCTTTTGACATGCGGCCCAATTCGTCTGCCATGTCGTTAGCCGTGATGGAAATGACAAGTGGTAATTCTCCATACATTCATAAATCCTGCGCATTGCGTCACCAGCGCAAGGTCGCTCTTCCACCCCTTAGCGATTAAATCGCACAGAGTTTTGTCCGGAGGCGACGCCGCGCCTTCATAAGTGCTGAAGCATGGTTTTGCGAGGGGATAGCCGCGAAACAGACGACCTTCAACGGTTTTGTTCAGAGAATCCCAATCTTCTGGTATCGCGGCGCCGGCGACAGCTGCAATGAATGTGGAAAGCAAATGTGCTGTAAGGAACGTAGGGATCATGACGGACCAGCAAAGGAAATGTAGTCACAAATCGCTTGCCTCCAGCGCAGGAGGAGCCTGTTTGCCTATATCATGTTGTCCTCGACACAATATTTCAGGGTCTCTAGCATGAGCCGCATTTTCCACATCTGGCTACCTATGTTGATCGGCATGCATGTATTTTGGCGTACCTGACTAGAACAATTGGCCCAGAGCTTGTGCTGCTGCGATAGCGTCGGGTTTGGTCTCGTTGAATTCATATATGCGCGAACGCCACGCAAAATAGCTGGGCCTAGTCGTCAGAGTGTCGAGTAGTCGAGCTATGATCCCAGCATTTGTGCATGCGGCTAGATGAGCTTGATGTTTCAGACTTTGTGCATCTCGCATGACTACCCGAGGCTTAATCTGAAGTTTACTAATAACCTTGATGCTATCCTCACGAATTAGGGAGTATGGAAGAAAAATCGCGATCTTACGGGGGAGAGGCGGAAGAGCATGGCAACTTGGATATCCGTCCCACGCTTCAGTTGCCAACCGTCATTCTTTCAGAGACTCAGTCGTAACCAGTGCGAGATGGTATGTTCACAAGCTTATTGTTCTCCTAGAAAGTTGAATTGACGAGCTGAAAGTGATGGTCTAAGAACCAGATTGCGTACTCTGACTTCGAAGTTGGAAGATATCAAGCCGGATGAAGGCGAAGGTGTTATGTAGAAGACGGAAAAGAAGAATATGTTCGTTGTTCGGATGTCATGTCGAAGTGACAAGGACTGAAGGGGTGGCTTTGTTTGGCAGAGATGCAAACTGCACAAACTCCGGACGAGGGATGACCAATCGATCGGCTTTCGGCCATGTAGACAATACTAACGGAGGCGGATGCTCTGCCTTGTAGGGTTATTTGTCCGCATTCCTGGGTCCAGGGACGAATGGTCGGTTGATTGTTGGCAAACGATTGGCGCAAACAGCAGTGGAATGTGACATGCGGAGTGCCGAGTGCCTAGTGTTTTCTAGGTCTTCAACGCAGATTAGCAAACACTTGTAGCCCGAGAGTCAAAAAGAGGAACTTGTGCGGGATCCAATACTTTGTTCCCCTGTGTGGATGACGTCCAACTAAGTAGCAATGAGCAGGCTACCACCTGCCGATTGTGCATGCAATGGAGCAAAAAGGACTGCTCCGGGCTCGGTTGTGCCTGTGGGCCTTGTGGGATCAAGGGGCAAAAAGTACGGGATGCGAGACTTGAACTCGCGACCTTCAGTGCACTTACAGGACCTCGAATCGCTCCGAAATGCCGTGTTAGACTGACGTGATAACCAACTACACCAACCCCGCTTGCTTCGTGACATTCAAGCCGTCTCAATAGACATATATTTGCAAGTGTTGAGGTGCCAAGGTGTGCCGGAGGACCTTCGGGTGAATTTTGAGGCCACACTGCGGTTCCCGGAGTTCACCCGACTGTAAGAGCATCTCGTCGTCTCCCATTCGCTGCTAAGGGGGACTATGAGTTGGTCCATGGTTCCCTCTGCCGTGATAGGGGTCACTCCTGGGGTCGGTCCTCAGGATGGCTTGTCCAAACGCGCCCGCAGGAGCTTGGAGAGGATTGCTGACGATGGACGCAAAAGTGCTTGCTGTATAACCAAGACATTGACGGCAAGGCCGGTGGCGGTGTCGAGCTTGTGTCCTGTCGCTCGGGCATTGTGGTCAAGGGCCAAGCGGACTGGCAGACTGCCACACTGCGGTTGTGTGGAGCATTCGAGACAGCGAGCTCATGCCAGAGGACGTGCGGAGACGTCGGATCGGATCAGAAGGCAAGGTCAGTGATGGAGCGCTGTGCTGGCCGCCTGAGAAGCGGAATGCTGCACGATGGATCGGACGGGACGGGCGCCATCGGAAAAAAAAAGTTGGTCGCGCACAGTCGAGGATGGAGGGGTGGAGAATTTGGAGCTGGAGAGCAGGTGATCAAGGCTATGCGGACGGCAAAAGAGACGAGACGATCAAGTGTCTGGATGTGGTGGTGTGAAAGCTTCTGGCAGCAACCTGAACCCGAAGAGCCAGCAGAGCAGTGACGTACGATAAGAAGGGCGATAAGGGACCGCTGGGCTGCAGGCAGCCGCAGCGTCAAGGTCGGAGTCAAGCATCAACCCAGCCACAGGCCCAGAGACACCAAATATCCCCTCACCTCGACATCGCGACAAGACGACGTCTTGCATCCTCCTCCGCGCTTCTCCATCTCGCCAACTCCCACATCCCCGCGGGCCTCACAAGCACTTCCGTTCTAAGCGACCGCCCACCGCCCCGCTCCGCACTGACGTCGACCCCTCGCATTGTCCACCATCGTCACCGCCGCCCAAGTCCAACCACCATCGATCCATTTCACCACCTCTGTCCCAAATTATTTTCTCCCTGGTCAAGGAAAGCAATCATGGTACTCCCAGGGCCTCGCTCGCCGCAGCTGCCGCCTTCGTCCTCCTCCTCGAGCCCCAGCGTCTCGCAGCGCCAAAGCTTCGTCGAAAACCTTCGTGGCATGCCCAACTCCCCGCGCGCTTCGCGCCAGCCCTCGCTCTCCCAACAGGCCCTGCAAGAACTGCTCAACAACCCTCCCATTGGCAAACATGCCCAGAACAGTGCCTTTGCTGGCCGCGACTGGAGATCCATCCGCGTGGGCGAAGTCATTGACCCCGACCTGGTCCGCTTCGTCGACATAGATGCCAGCGTCGAGGAGGCGACCAATGTGAGTCTCTTTTGCGGGGCCCCGCAGCATTCACTACGCAGCGAGCGCTTCGAGCTAACTCCAACCGCTAGGTCCTCATTTCTTCTGGTTCCCCAAATGTCGTCCTCATCCGCGAAAATAAAGACTCCCACGCCGCCATTGGCACATTTGATTACAGCGACCTGAATGCTTACCTCCTCCTCGTTGTTGGCCTCGCTCGTCCGGAAGCTCCCGAGTCTTCCTTCAACGATCTCGCACAAAAGGGCAGGGAGGGCAAGCCGGTGCCTCTGAGAGACGTCAAGGACCTGGGCAAGAAGGAGCCGCTCATTACTCTTCCGCATACCGCAAATCTTACCAAGGCTGTCGAGATTTTTGGTAGTGGAATTCACCGCATCATCATCGTCAAGGAGCACAGCCAGGAAGTTATTGGCGTCCTGAGCCAATTGCGCCTTGTCGGATTCTTCTGGTTGAATGGCAGGAATTTCCCTACCGTCGACCACCTCTACCCCCAGACGCTAAGGGACCTCAATATCGGATCGCAATCCGTCGTTTCAATCAAGTGAGTGTGCAGGAGAGGTTGACTGAATTCCGCTTATGCAACATCTAGTGGAGATCGGCCAGTCACAGAGGCCCTCGAAATCATGCATACTGAGGGTATTACGTCTCTTCCGGTTGTTGACAACCAAATGAACGTCGTTGGAAACATTTCTCACGTCGACGTCAAGGTAATTTTCCACCCCTTGATCAGCGTGGTCCTTGCTAATGCGCCACACAGCTTCTGACAAAAACGACTGCTCTACCGCTCCTTCGCTCGTCGTGCATCCACTTCATCTCGGTCATCCTTTCGGAGCGGGGTATGAATGATGGAAAGGACTCATTCCCCGTCTTTCACGTCACACCACAATCTACTCTTGCGCACGCCGTCGCAAAACTTGTGGCGACGAAATCCCACAGGTTGGTCCTACTGCCTTGCTCGACGAGTCTGCCAAGCTGACCAAGTTTTTAAGAATGTGGATAACAACGCCTCCGTCGCCCGCTTCTTCGGGTCCTCCGACGCCTGCGGCAACGCCTGCCCAGCCAGCCTTCTCCCCTCCTTCATCAGGCGTCCTCTCGCCACCTAGCTCATCCTCATCTACCCCAGCGATTGACATTCCTTCTCCAGCGGCCCATGACGCACATGCTGTCCCTCCCTCAGCGACGCCTCCTTACCCACACGGCCCACACCATGCGCATCATCATTCGCATCCTTCCATCTCGACGCCCTCGCCGCTCCCTATGTTGTCCATATCGGCCGCGGCCCTCCCCGGTGCCAGCCTGTCTGGTCATCTGACGGGTGTCATCAGTCTGACGGACGTGCTCAATCTGTATGCGCGAGCCAGTGGACTGAGCCCGCACGATCCGAACGAGACGAGGCGGGCGAGGAGGCGTAGCTCGAGCGTCAGTGTGCGGAGCAGTCTCGATGGTGTGAGGGAGGTCAGGGACATCGCCGGCAAGAGGTAGAAATGATGGGTCAGGAGAAGCTGATTTCGGTGGAGCGTTGAAGACTGACAAGAGACGAGGAGCAACTCAACATGAAGCGGGGTGAGTGGTGCGCTTGCCGGAGCGGATGGAAAAACATTTGATTTTTGCAAGCTTCTCGCGTGCATAGGGGGGTTCGTGGGTGTTATCTCCGAGAGAGGTCTTTGGTTTCTTGGGTTTGTTGCTGATGGAGAGCATCAAGAGTCAGTGAGTGAGGGAATGAGTGAACGAGGACTTGTCATTACGGCCATTCATGCTCACAATCCATAGTCAATCAACATTTCCAATTGCTGTCTGCGCGTGTAGGTTGGAGCTGTATGGTTGTCTCTTCGATCCGCCGATTTTCATGAGTAGAGAAGGGAAGAGCATGGTCTGTGTGGAGAATGACGGAGCGATGCCTTGGCTTCGCTGTCAAGTGCGTTCCACGCTCTACGTGGTAGTTTTGCGGGGGCCATGCGAAGCCGCGGAGGAGCAGAAAGGTGTTTGGACATAACTCACCTACCAGGAAATGGGCGGACATAGACCCTTGTTCAGTTTACGTTTCACGTCTTCCTCTCATTGGATCTGGGCCAAACCCACACTATGAATGACCATCTCTATGAGCGAGCAAAAACGGATGCGGTGGCCGCACTTTTCTGGACACCCCCTGCACAAGCAATTACTGATAACCTGACTCCTTTAGGCCGCGGCGCCTGCAGCTGGCCGTCTTGCAATTATCCGAATGCCCCCATTCCGAAGCAAAAGAAGGAGCCAACCGTGATCAAATGACAAACACTGTGCGCGTGCAAATCGACTCGACACGCCACAACCAGGACGCGAAGCACGAGACATGAGCCGGAGTACCACCAAGACTGCAATCACACTCACGCAGACCGCAAGACACGAGCATAGTTCAAAAGAGCGTGATGTTGCTAGCAACAATATCCCAACCGTACGCATCAATCCGCATTGTTCAAGCAGACCAAAAACGAGCGTGTGTGCTTCAGCAAGGACGATAAAGAAGAGGACAGAGTGACCCTCCCAAAATGGAGGAGCCTAGCCGGTCGACCAGAGGTGGTTCGAGCAAGGTGATCAGGCTTGCTCGCGTCTCGAGTTGAGCAGCCGGCTGCCTCTACTTTTTCCCTCCGCCGGTGGTACCACCCTTTCCACCGCCGCTGTTGGCGTTGTGAGCAGCGGCGGACTGCGCACGGGCGGCGAAGCCGCTGGACGACATGTTGCCGCCTCCTTTAGCCTGTGCTCGGTTAGGAAGAAGTATTTGGTGGATTGGTGGATGCAGTGGGTGGCGGCTCACCTGAGAGGACTGAATGCGGGAGGCATCGGATCCGGTCATTTGCTTGGACATGATTTATTGATTGGTCGGTCGGTCGTTGAGTGTAAGTCGTGGATGTAAGTTGTTTGAGCAGGTGTGTAGTTTCGATGGTCCTTTCGAGGAGAGGAATCGCCCGAGGACTGAAAGAAGGATGGCAAGGACAAGCCGACTTTATACCTTCCCTCGTCTCTCTCCATCTCTCGTTCTCGCCAAAGTGACTCTTCACATGCAAGCAGTGCGCGTCTTGCAGTCTAATGAATCATCAACAAGAAAGAAACGCACGGCAGAATAAGCTTGACAAGAACAGACGTACTGCAGGCAAAGGACCGCAGCTCTGGAAGCGAGGAAGGCGACAAATGGCGGAGCAGCAGCGGCGGTGTGCTGCCGTCATTGATGTCCCGGCGGCTTGCACCGCTGAACGTGCTTGGTGAGCTTCTTGCGGAAAGACGTAGAGCTGTGGGAAAACAAGACGAGCGGAAAGGATGGAGTGAGAACTTCTTAAAACCCCTACCTCAGTAGGTCGAGACGAGGCGGCTGCTCTTGTTGTTGCGTCTGGCGACGTGAACAGCGGCGGGTGGGTCGTTGTCAAGTCATTCTCGCGTTTGCCTCGGAGTCACCTCAGAGCAACTTCCTATCCACGTTGAGAGTTCATCAAGCAGACACGATGGAGCAAGGTTCACAGCAATTTGTTCAAACGAGTGGCATTGCTACATCTAGCAACAACAACAACGACCGCTCTCCAACACTCTCTTCGGATTGGCTCAGGAAGGACAGTAGCAACAGGTGCTAGGTAGC